TCATCAAACGTCATAAGGAAAAGACGTCTCACATATGGATGCAATAGTAACAGGCATCATCAAGTAAAGCTCCATGACGCTTACTTTCTCAGTATCACAAGCTTCTGAAGACTGACCATGCCAGATAATTTCTATCGTCTCATTTTTAATATTTGCCCTTTTCCTTAACACTTAAATAACCTGATTTGATTTTTATAAAATCTTCTCAAATAGTATACTTTTCATTAATTTAAGGGAAGTGAAGAAAGCAAGAATAACACAGGGCCTCCCAGCCCCCACCCCAGTCCTACCCTGAGCATCCAACATGTCCAGTGAAGAAAGAAGAAAATCAGCAGAGGACTAGTTCCCCAATACCAACATGTCTTTCTAAACATTTTATAGCTCCTCCTAACTAAATTATGATCACACAGCCACCTCAAATAGCACTCATTCCAATGACAGAAACAGGTTCATCACTCTTGCATAATATTAGAGGGACCAGCCTTAATATCATACATCCCAGGGGCTCAGGAGAGAGAACTACTAACAGTGAGGACTATTTTCAGGAAATAGAATCTCAGCACACCGAGCTCTATCGTCCACTTGCTTTAATTCCTCTGGCATAACATCCTTTATACACAGCTTCAGTTCTGTTCTCATGTCTATCTCCTTTCTTGCCTGATTTCTCTCTATACTTATCTATTGCTCCCTCTAAGTTCTATCTTAATTCTTTCATCTGCCTCATTTAGGTCCTTTTCAGCTTGTTCTTACCCAGCTAGTACTTCCCCATCTGGCTCTTCCTCATCTTCCATCTCGTTCCTCTAGCACTCTCTTCTAGCCCTTCAATCTAGTTCTTCCCCATCTCAGTTTGTTCCTCTCTAGTTCTTACCCGTCTAGTTCTTCCATTCTCTTTTCTCTTCTCTGACCCTCCATGCCCTGGAAGTCCTGGTATATACAGCCAGGCTTCCAGGGTCAAACGGAGGGGTGATAAGAATCACATTGAGAGGCAATAACTGGTAATTATCATTTGCAACCCCAAAGGGAAGTGACCAATGGGGAAATGAATTAACTAAAGGCTAAATTCGGGTAATATCTAAAAAAAGGGATCTTATGTGCTCAACTATTAAACTCTTAAACGTGATTAGTAGAAAATGTTAAGAATCTATAAGTTGCTAGGTCAATGGGAGAAAATAACACTGCCTTCTTTTTTCCTGTGGCTCCTATCTATCCAAGCTATCTGCCGTTTTTCTGCAGGGTGGGGAAAAGTGTGCTCAGTTACTAGGCAACCTGTGTACAGCTAGATGCCTCTGGTGATAGTTAAAGGGAGATCTGGAACTAGAGGTAAGGTTTGGGAAAGCAGGAAGTAAAGCTTAATTGGCACATCCGCCTTCTCAAATGGGTAGCCTGGATGCTTAAGTCTGTTCTTAGAAAGTACGGAGGTATCTCTGGTAAGGTACTTTCCTCCATTTGGGGATGGACCTGGCCAGATGCTGCCAGTGGTGATAATTACAGGGAGGCTTGAACTGGGGTTCTGGCTGAGCATAGCTGTCAGTGCAGAAGGTTATCTAAATATTCCTAGAAGTGGTTAAGTAAGGAGTTAGAGGTCTATAAAGTTAGGAAAGGAGGGTCCAAGCTGAATTGTGGAAAGCTATTACTTAACATCCACCTGACCTAGGCGGTGTCTCTTTGTGGAATTTACCTTAAATCAGGAGACTTTCATGTGGACTGTTATTACTGCTAGTCCTTGAAAGTAGCTAAAGGAGATATCTGATTCCAGAGAAAGCCTTTCCTGAGGCTGTTCTCCAAATACATGGAATGTTTATGTCCAGAGAGTGATCAGTCCACACTGTTAGCCCTTCTTGGGGAAAAGTCAATTGGGAAAACTATGAAGGCACACATGATTTTCATAACAGAAGACAGCTGATATATAACAAGCCAAGTAATACCAAAAACTCCTTGGGATTTGGCTTCCTCTGGAGGAATTCCCTGATTCCTCCAAGTAGTGACTTTGCCATAACCAGCTGAGTTCTTATGATAAATTCCTGCGGCCTGCAACACACCACCCTGCACAGCATTCCCCTCATCCGTCCACCTTAGGTGAAACCCAGACAAGGTGGTGGAGACAAACTGCCTCTACTTAACGGGCCAGAATGTTTGTGGTTATTTCTTTTTCTTCACTTCAGGATAATGATGCGACTTTTAGAGAGAAATAAAAGTGTATGTGTGTATGTGTGGGTGGGTGTGTGGGTGGGGGGGGGTTGTCTTGAGGCTGGAGTTTGGCATCCGCAGCCTCAGTTCATAGTTCTCAGGACTCTAAGAACAGCCCAGCATGAGCTGCTCGAAAACCAGTTGATGGTGAGAGTCAGCCAAGGCCACATTCCAGCTTCCCACCTCCCCAGTGTGACTCTACATTAAATAGGAGATCATTTCAATTTAATTTTGTTTTGTTTGTGAGCTTGAGCCTGAGCCCAAGGTCTCGTGTGTGCTCAACAAGCACTCAACCATTGAGCTATACCCCAACCACGAGTTAATTTCAAATCCTTACCTCTAACGGACTCCACCAAATAAACTAGCCTGCTCTTACAGCATGAAGTGGCTGGACAGGCATCAATCTACCAGCTGTGTAAATTACTTACTTTACCATGTAAAATGCTTATTTTGTCAAGTGTTACTATATAGAGCACAATTCAGTCTTAAATCTTTGAGATTTTCATTTTATATACAAGAAAGTCAAATACTCTAGCCAAAGTTAAATATTCTAGGAGAAAGCCCAGGTTAAAAAAAAAAAAAAAAGGATTCTGAACCCTGGTGATGTATCAAATTCTAAAGGTTATGTATGTGAAATCAGGAGACTAAGTCACTCGCAGGGCTTTCTGCAGAAGTGAATGATTTAATACATACAAGGATTACACAAAGGATACATGTTCTAGCCACACACAATGATGGGGCTTAAGAATGAGTCCACAAAGTACTTCACTAATATTTGGATACTTTTAGCAAAATGTTCTTATACGTAATCATCTAGCTCATGATGAGTGCTCATCTGTATGATGAGTAGCCCCAGTGCAGCAGGGCTGGCACACATGAGCTCCCCAGAATGACCTGTCTAGTGCCAGGCTTTGGTCCCCTTGATAGTCATCTTTGTTTGTACTTCTCTCTTGACACTGGTGTGACTTGATGATCAACATGGAACACCTCCCATAGCTCTCTGCGTTCTGGAAGATCTGGGGAAACCTTCTATTGCCCTCTACTCGCTTATCCATCCCCAGATCACCACACCTATGGAGAGCCGCGTCCATGGCAACTGCTCTGAGATGGGAAAACTGGTCGCTTGGATGAGAATGGCACCCATAGACTCGTATGTTTGAATACTTGGTTCCTAGTTGGTGGAACTATTTGGGAAGGATTAGGAGGGTATGGCCTTGTTGGAGGAAGTGTGTCACTGGGAGCAGGCTTTGAAGTTTCAAAAGACTCCCAGAATCAATCAATCAATCAATCAATATCTCTCTCTCTCTCTCTCTCTCTCTCTCTCTCTCTCTCTCTCTCTCTCTCTCTCTCTCTCTCTCTCTCTGCCTCATGGCTGTCTGAGGATGTAAGCTTTCAGCTACTACTCCAGCACCACACCTGCCTGCCTGCTCCCAGGCTCCCTGCTATGATGGTCATGGACCTAACCCTCTGAAACCCTAAGCTCCAATGTAAAAGTTTCCTTTTACAAGTTGCCTTGGTCATGGGGTCTTGTCACAGCCAACAAAAAAGTAACTAAGACAGAAATCCTCTTGGAGCTTAAGCTCGAAAGTTCCATACCCTACACCTGACTGACTGCAGCCCATCTCCGCCCTGTCCTACGGAAAAGATTACACACAAACTTAGTGCCTGGTACACACAGGATGAGTCGAAACCTTGGTAGATGGCAGATAAAGCTCCTGGTCTCTTTCACCAGCCCGTGATGCATTTCCTCACAAAAGTATCATAAAGCAGGTCTCCACCTCTACTCCTTGTCAACACAGCAGGTTCCCTATGACTCTCAACTAGACATCGAGTGACGTGCTCACTCTGAAAATGATCATCAGACACGGGGTGCTGCTGGGTAATGGGAGAGGAGGCAGTGACTGGTAAATCTCTCAGGTAATTCAGATATGTCACTGAAATTAAAATTATTTAAAAAAAAAAAAAAAAACAACAACAGGGTTCCATTATGCAGCCCTAGCTGGCCTGGAACTCACAACGTACAGGAAGGTGCCTTGGCATTTATAGAGATCTGCCTGCCTCTGCCAGCAAACACAAATTTACGAGTGCTGGGCTCAAAGGTGAGCTAAAATCACTTTTTATACTGTTGTTGCCTCTGTTACACTGTATGATAGTTTAAATGGTAAAACTCGTCCCACCCAGAAGAGTTTCCTATTGAAATTCCAGAGGTCCTTAGAAAAATAGGGGGGAAAGTGACCAACAGTGCATTTTAAAAGCACATAAGCTTCAGTGGAACTCAACAACTCTGCAAATAATGAGGAAAATTCTGTGTGCTTTTCTGGAGTGTCTATCAAAGTCTCAAGGTGACACATAGCTCACAGATAACATTAATCTAAGAACCACAGCTATTTCTCAGAGCAATAAAGATACAATGCCGAGACACAAAGAAAACGATTCCCAACTTCTCTTCACAATCCAATTTCCTTATCACCTGACCCCCTACTATCCAAAAAAGTCTGATTCCAGAGCTGAGTCTTGAAAGAGAGACAATTTGTTCCAGAATGCAGCTTTCCCAATCCAAATAAATGATATGAAAGACTCCTTGAACTGCTAATATTTTTTGCATCTAATAATAAGAGGTTTTACTAATGTCACAAAATACGCTGTCGTCGGGGATACGTACCTTCCCACCTCCACCATCATCACCTACAAGTCACATCCCAGACAGCACAAGTGCCTCAGATGCCAGGTGCCGTGGGCACACATTAGCAGTGTGTGACATCCACAGCTCTGCCCAGTGCAAAACAGCTCCGGGCTGTGAGCGAATAACTCACCTTCATGAGGTGCTGATTTATCCATTTTGTAAAGGTTTTCTTTTGAACTTTGTCCCGCTCATCTGGAAGATAAAAAAGAAAACATAAAGTAAGGTTGGTATGACCCATGCACAGGAAACTTCAAGTCTTAGAGTCAAACAAAAATGGGGTATACGAAGGATATCCTCCTGTGCTCACACTACCTCAAGGTGCTGGTACCTTTCAAATGGAAGCCAAGGACTCACCCCAGCACCAGCACAGACAATGCACTTGGGAGAGGGGGTCCTGCAGGGCAAAGTGAATGATGGACAAATTACAAACTGTAGAGACCCTGCATGGAAGAGCAGCTCTCACATCACAGGATCTGCTGTCTCTCTCAGCCTCCAGCAGCAAGAGAACAGAGGACATGACGTTCAGATCCAACTGGCAGCCTGGGACCCTAATAGTAAGCCCTCTAGAAAACTGTTTTTAAATGCCTTTTAAAAAATCTGGGGCTGGGAGTGTGGCTCAGTGGAGCAAGACCCTGGCTTTAAACTTGAGCACTGCAAAAACAAAGCTCAAGGTTCAAGAAAAGGAAGCTTCCATATTACATTACAAAATGAAAACTTAAGGAATTCCTGTAGCTCTCCTCTAAACTGTATTGATTTACCTAATCTTCACATAACAATAGGAACTCCTACAATACCATTAAAGTCAATGTACTATGTGTTTCATCTTAAACTCTTGTTCTCTTGGGTATGAATGGTGACCAAAATGGGATATTTAGTTTTCTAAATTAAGCAAATACCAAGCATACAGGTTAAGAAGCATGAACAGGAAGAACCTAGGTCCTAAAACTGGACTGGCTGACTTCTTACACAAATGGTCTACCCGGAAAGGTAGTTTAACCAAGTACTTTACTTAGAGACTATAACCATCACCAGGGGCTGGCCCTAAGTGCTGCACGGTTGATGGCCAGGCTCAGAAGCACCACTGGAGACCGAGATAATGCTAAAACCTCCAGGAATGATCCACAATGAAACGCGCTCGAAAGAGTGAAGGACCAAAGCTCACCTGGTGACGTGTACCACCTGGATTCTGCGGCCATCCTCTAATGACAGAAGCCCAAACCTTGTCTTAAGTCATGGTAAGCCTAGATGCGCCTTGCAGTACCCACGAGACCCTCACCTAGAAAGCCCCTGCAGCAGCTTTCTTCAAGACAGTAACTACCCTGCAGTCAGTGAAGAACTTAAGCCTGGGAAGAACGGGCAATTTTACCACCTTATGCATTATTTCAAAAGGGAATCATTTTAAAAGGGAGTATGCCGGATTACACCATCTAATTTTCCAATTACAAGTCTCATGGTGATTTTCCTCGTTTTAATCAGGGATGCTTAACACTGAGATTTATATTTAGGGCACTGTTGCCATGACAACAAAGAGGAGGGCCATCATTCCTATGTATTAGCCAGATCTGTTGGTTTTATGCACTGCCCAGTTAGTACTCTAAATCAAGTTTTATAGCATTCCTCTAGTTAAAATTATCTTATTTACAATCAGCCTTAAATGAAAACATACATTTATGCTCAACTTATGAAGTACAAAGTAGCTGGAAATATACAAAAACACCTGAATACAAATAATAATCATAGAATTTAAGAAAAAAATCACATAAAGAGCAGTTATTACAGCTCACCCTGTTCACATTTCCCAGGAATGAGCAATCAAAGTTAAAAGTACTTAGTACCACACACAGCAAATGTCAGTGCTACATAAAGACTTATCCTATGCGAAACCATACGAAGCAAAGTCCTCCTAGGCAAGCAAAAAGATGATCCAGAGTCTACCCAGATCCCTCAAGGCACTCCACCATCACCGGCTCTGCCCTGCAAGCCAAAGCTGGTAGCACAACTTTCCTTTCCAGGTTCCAGAATATGCGAGAGGCGGGGTGGGGCGACTGTACTAACCCATACAGCACATGAGTCCCACCAGCTGGGCGCTCCAGTCCTGACCACTTTTCACAAGCTGCCCCATCATTCTGGGGGAATCGGTGCAGACGGGTCCTGGACACTCTCGTCCCAAGTGTGATGGGTCGGGGTGCTGCTAACTTTCTCCGCAGAAAGGAAAGCTCTGACTAGACACTCCTCCTTGCAGTGGAAACTAGTCAACACCCCTTTTTAAACAAACATTAGCAAGCCGGAGGACTGTGCAACTGTGACTGCAAACAGGCTAAATTGTCTGTTTCTCTCCGAAGGGAGCAATCAGAAGTCTCTTTAAAGACGGAGTCCTCGGTCTCCTCCCCCCACCACCCCTCTTTACTCTTTCAGAGGGGACAGTGAGGCAACTAAGAGGTTGTTCGATTTTGCAGGAGAAGCAACTGAATACTGCTTTCTAACCCGGCAAGCAGGATTCCCTTAGAGTCAAAAGCAACACGCAGCTGGCACACCTCACCTTTGCTACACACATGAGATTTGGAAAGCTCGCCTTTACAGGCCAGACATACTCTTCAGGGAGAAATGTCACCATCAAGAATTCCTGTATGTATTCACTTGAATGTCAAAGCAAGTCTCCTAGTGTGTGTGTGTGTGGGGGGTACTGTAAACTTTAAAGCTGCAGAAGCAGACTCTGTACGCCCAGTGCACACCTATGATTACCAGTCTGAAGCCAACCAGTGGGATAGAACAGAGAAGGAAGGAAGGCAGCAGAAAGGAGGGAGAAAGGGAGAGAGGGAAGGTGGGAGGGGGAGGAAGGAGAGAAGAAAAGAAGGGAGAGAAAAGGAGAGGCCTGAGGGAGATCTTAAGTTTGATCCTAAAGCTTACTTTTTTCTTGGTCAAACAACAGAAGCCCTAACCTTACAACTCAAGAAAACATGGAATTCCCAATTTCTCAGAACCTCACTTCTAAGCATGAATAAATAATGTCAAGAGTCGGGCGGTGGTGGCGCACGCCTTTAATTCCAGCACTCGGGAGGCAGAGCCAGGCGGATCTCTGTGAGTTCGAGGCCAGCCTGGGCTACCAAGTGAGTTTCAGGAGAGGCGCAAAGCTACACAGAGAAACCCTGTCTCGAAAAACCAAAAAAAAAATAATAATAATAATGTCAAGAAGTGAGAACCCTTGTTCTGAACACACGAGAGATCATCAGCACCTCCATGTTTATGTGAAACATCAAAACAATTTTCCCAAACAGAAGCTATACAAACAGTAATTCCAAAATAAGTAAAAGTGATCACTCACTTACTTATTTTCAACAATAGGGAACAGCGAATCTGGTCATGAAAAGACACCCCAACATTGCTAGACTCCTCCTGGTGAAATGTTCTGAACATCCTCAGATGCTGTCTAACTCCATCCTCATCAGACTGCACAGGATAAATGGTGAGGGCTGCCGCTGAGAGTTCAAAGCACCTGCCCAGAACACAGCACTTTACTGTTTCTTCCCTTTTCCAATAGGAAAAGAGGCCATCTTCCTGGACAAAAGGCGTATGGAGATAGAGGTCATTTCCCTAGACAAATGGCATGTGGATACAGGTCAGAGGATCCTTCCAATAAAGATATGGGGACGTAGTCAAGTACTCTGCTACTCAAAAATGAATATAATGATCATTTTCTTTTCTTTTTTTAAATTTTGTTTTCTTTGAAATGGAGGGTCTCAAGTAGCCCAGGCTGGCCTTGAACTACTCATCCTCTTGCCTCCTTTTCTGAACTGCTTGGGTTACAGGTATGTGCCACCACACCAGGCCAAAATAAATAGAGAGACATACAGATAAATAAGCAAACTTTATGCTGGCCTAAATTTATGAGAATGATTAACAGCAAATGCAGAGAAATGGGTAGTGCTTACCCTACTATCATACAGATAGGTAGATTATAGCATTTACTAGGATAATTTGGTAGTTTGTATCATATATTTAAATGAATATACTTTCTGAATCAATAACTCTACTTGCAGGAACTGGTAATGAAATACTTGTGTAGAGTGTGTGATTGGTTCACAAGGATGTTTACTGTGGCCTAACATTTGAAACAGTTTTAATTAATAGGAGACTAGATAAATGAGTCATAATTCACTCATGCTTTGAAACTTCAATTTTAAAAACTGGCACATACTGACATGAAAAAAGATTTCCAAGACAGAGACAAAATGAAAACTAATCAATGTTGAGATGCATGTATCTATAGAAGGCAAAACGTCATCCGAAGATGTGGAAGATGCAAGAGGGTGCTGGTATGCTGTTCCTCATGTCTCATTCCAAGCATCTCTGCATTCCGTGATGCTTTTATAAGAAAGACATTTCTGCATCGTCACTGATACTAACTGCGAGGAAAGGGTGGGAAGCTCCTGTACTCACTCATGTATTGAACAGCCTAGCAGACGGCATAGAAGACACAGGAAAAAGACCAAGGCCAGGCCCCAGTGCCCTGTTCAGGTTTAAAGATGGAGCGGCACAACAGGTGTGCCGGGCTTGTGCCTACGCTCATGGCTGAGGAGAGGGCAGGAGGAGGAGGAGATGAAGGCTTGCACAGAGCAGCAGACAGCAGGAGTGGGTGACAAGGTCCTCAGAGAAAGGCTGCCCATCAGGGATGCAAAGCTGCAGAAGGCCTCTGCAAAGAGGATCTGGAACTGAGAACATATGCAGACATCACCCTGCTTGGAGGCTTTCCTTGTTTGAAGTTTGGTTACCACATACTAAAATACAGTATGGTTGCACAGGCCTTTGTGAGGAATCCAGAAACAGGACATAGAATGTGCTGTGTAAGCTGAGATGCTGAACAGAAGCCTAAAGCTCTCTCTACAAATGCTTTTGTGTTTGCCCTCTCCCGGACTGATGATCAGAACACATGCTTTCCTGTCGGCGCAGTTCTGGCCCCACGGTACTAGAAGCCGGAACAGAGGTATTAGGCTCTGTTCTGAAGAGGGATTTACTGGTTCATATTTGTTCTTATGATTGACCAAAAAATTAATACAAAATCTGCTCTTCAATCTTTCTTCTCCTACCAGGGCAGACTTTAAACATATGAGCACAAAGGGACTTCTAATTACTGTTACATTGCTCCATTTAACTGTCACACAAGATCTCTTTGCCATGCCAGCCCATGTTAAGGA